GTAAGAAGAGAAAGCTCTTCTTCACAGTAGAATGCCAACTTCACAGTAAATGGAATAATGGGAGTAAAAAAATTATTACACCATTTGGCAATTGTTAAAGTGGTGTGTGTTGATTTATACTGTATTTATCAATGGATACTAAGCCTTGACATATACCATTTTCTCCCTTACCCCATTATCGTTCCTTTTCTAATTAATCTGAGAACAAATTGTAGACATGATATTTCAGCCTTAAATATTTCATCCTTGGGCGAGGGCACGCGCCCCTCCCTGCTGCCGCGTGGGTCTGGTCCGGGGGCGGCAGGTGGGTGGCGGCCTGCGCCGGGCTCCCGCCGTGGCCTAGGGAGTCGGTGCCTGAGGCCGCCAGCAGCGTGGTCAGGCTGTGCCTCATGGGGCCCGGCGGCCGGTCCACGTAGGCCCTGCGACGACTCGCCCCTTCAAGTGTTTTTCTCAAAACAAGTGCACTGTTCTACAACCTTGGTGCCACCCTCCCAACCCGGAAATTAACATCGATACAGCACTGCTGTCTAACCCACAGACCCCGCTCAGATTTCACCAACTGCCCAACGTTACCTTTTCCTTTCTAGCCCAGAACCCAAATTCAGGATCATGCATTACTTTTGATGAAGAACAGCATATTAGTTTCAGAGTATTTCCCCAGAAAATACTCATTAATTACAAAGGTGAAGATGGTGACTTTATAGTGAAGAAAAGTGACAGATACCGCCTTGACCAGGTGATCAAGTTTAGTATCATCAATAGTGGGGTAGGCTGACATCAAGGGCCCCGGAGGCCATACTCTGAAAAGAATACACCATAATCATTTTTTGTGTAGTACTCCTACTGAGAAGTTATGGGTCTAGATATAATGAAACACCAGATGGATCCAGGTTGAGGGACATCCTACAGAACCACAGGCCTGTACCCTATAACCGCCAAGGACACAAAAGAAATGTTCCAGATTAAAGCATACCAAAGAGTTTGGCCAGTGTAGCTCAGTGGTTGAGTGTTGACCCATGAACCAGGATGTCATGGGTCGACCTCTATGAAATCAATAAAAACATATTTTTTTAAAGGGGGTGGGGGCTGGTGGGTTTGGCTCAATGAATAGAGTGTAGGCCTGAGGACTGAAAGATCCTGGGTTCCATTCCAGTCAAGGGCATGTACTTCGGTTGCAGGCTTGATCCCTGGCCCTAGTCGGGGCGCATGCAGAAGGCAACCAATCAGTGTGTCTCTCTCATCATTGATGTTTCTCTCTCCCTCTCCCTCTCCCTCTCCCTTCCTCTCTGAAATCAATAAAAACATATTTTTAAAATAAAATAAAATTAATAAAAGGTGGGGGAGGGGGAGCAGATCAGAGACATGATAAGTAAAAGTAATGCATGATCCTGAATTTGGGTTCTGGGCTAGAAAGGAAAAGGTAAGGTTTGTGAAATTTGGTGAAATTTGAGCAGGGTCTGTGGGTTAGACAGCAGTGCTGTATCGATGTTAATTTCCGGATTGGGTGGGTGGCACCAAGGTTGTAGAACAGTGTCCTTGTTTTGAGAAAAACACAGTGAAATATTTAAGGTTGAAATAGTATCATGTCTACAATTTGTTCTCAGATTAATTAGAAAAGGAATGATAATGGGGTAAGGGAGAAGATGGTATATGTCAACAGAACAATCTACTTAAGGAGATAAAGTTCTTTGTACCCTTCTTGAAACTTTTCTGTGAGTTTGAAATTATTTCAAAATAAATTATATTTTAAAAATAAGGCCAAGAATTCTTTCAGCAAAAGTTTTTCCTTTCCGCCTACAAACATGCTCAAATCTCTGCCACTCTAAACAAAGCAAAGCTAAAAACAAAGTCATGAAGCCAGTGGCTGCTTGCTGCCGCCATTTCCTCCCGGCAGGATATCAGGATGTGGAGGAAACACCACTGGACCCAGTGTCAGGAAGCCTCGGTTTGAGGCTGGCTCTGCCACTCCTTAGCTACGTGACTTTGGCCAAATCATTTAACTTCTCTGAGCCTCAGTTTCCTCATGAGGGAACAACAGCATCTTCCTTAGGGAGTTGCCCTGGGGGTCAAGGGAGAGCAGGGATATAAAAGCAGGTTATCAACTCTAATTCTAACTACAGGTGACTCCTCATTTTAACTTCTGGTGATACAGGACCATTGTCCTCACATCCTGCTAGAATGTGTCCTGTTCTTAAAGTCCAGCCTGCCCTTTGCAGAACTGTACACAGCTGATCATAGCCTTTCCCTGGCGATACCCTTTGCCCTTGCGTGCCTTTCTTGCCTCTCTTGACCTCCTCTTCTCAACATAGCCTCTTCTCCTTCTGCCTGCCTAGCCAGGACAGGTGCCCACTCAGGTCTGTTCCCAATCCTTTCCTCTCCATCTACTTGCTCATTTTGGAATGTCTATGTTCCCAGCCTTTTAGGGACCTCCATTATTATGCTGATGACACCCATCACTCAACCTTCTGCACTGGCTTCTTCTCTCAGTGGTCCATCTTTTTTTTTTTTTTAAATACATTTTATTGATTTTTTACAAAGAGGAAGGGAGAGGAAGAGAGAGTTAGAAACATCGATGAGAGAGAAACATCAATCAGCTGCCTCCTGCACGCCCCCCACTGGGGATGTGCCTGCAACCAAGGTACATGCCCTTGACCGGAATTGAACCTGGGACCTTTCAGTCCGAAGGCTGATTCTCTATCCGCTGAGCCAAACCGGTTAGGGCTAGTGGTCCATCTTATTTGGGCATTCCCACAGGCACTTCAAATGTACCTTAGGTGCCCTAGCCGGTTTGGCTCAGTGGGTAGAGCATCGGCCTGCAGACCGAAGGGTCCCAGGTTAGATTCTGGTCAAGGGCACATGCCCGGGTTGTACCTCGATCCCCAGTAGGGGGCGTGCAGGAGGCAGCCGGTTTCTATCTCTCTCCCCTTCTCCCTTCCTCTCTGAAATCAATAAAAATAGAAAATAAATAAATAAATAATAACTTCATTAAAAAATTTACCATAGGCAACACTAAATGTTGCCCTTCTTACTTGCTTCTGTCCCTATATTATCTTTATTTAAAACACCTTGTTTCCCAAAAATATTTGGGCTAGAAATGTAGTTGTTTACTATTGTTGTTGTGTGCTTACTGAACATCTATGTGCCAGATATGCCCCTAGGTACTTTGCATTCTTGATTTCCTTTACCCCTTGAAAAAGCCCTATGAAGTAGATAGATCCTACTTCATTCCATCTTACAAAGCTGGACTCTGAGGGTCAGAAAGCTTAAATAACCTCGAGCCCAAGGTTACATAAGTAACAAGTAATAGAACTGGGATTTGATACTAGGCTTGTCTTACTCTTAATATTAATCACTATCGCCCAGCTGGTGTGGTTCAGTGGTTGAGCATAGATCTGAGCACTGGTTCTATTCCCCGCAGGGCACATGACGGATTTCCGGGCTTGATCCCCCACAGGGGATGTACAGGGAGCAGCAGATCAGTGTTTCTATCTCTCTTTCCC